TGGATGGGGAGTAAGGAACGTCATCTGGTACTGTATACCGTTATGCTGCTGCTGCTGCTGCTGCTGCTGCTGCTGCTGCTGCTGCTGATGGTGATGATGATGATGATGTAGATAATCATCTCCTGCTGCACCTGATGGGTATGAACTATCTATTACACCTGTACGTGATCTTGCTGCTGCTGCTGCTGCTGCAGCACGAGCACCTCTTGCTGCTGCTATTGGGTACCCTCCTCCCCATGACGCTAAGGAAGCAACACCTGATAAAGGAATTCTTCTTGCTTCTCTTGGCTCAAGAGCAGATCGGGCCCTTGATACCCATCTAGTGGGGCCCCCTGGGCCCCCTGGGGCCCCAGGGGCCCCAGGGGCCCCTTGGGCCCCCCCCCCTAATCGTGTATTATTATCAGCAAAAGTTGCTGCTGCACAACACCTACCTCTTTGCTGCTCTCCTCCTGCTGCAGCTGTTCCTGCTGCTCCTGCTGCACCACTAGGTGCAGCAGCAGCAGCAGCAGCAGCAGGACCATTTATACGACGAAGGGGGGCCCCCCCTACTGTTGGCTGTCTATACAGCCGACGCTGTTGGGCATTAGGAGGGAATAAATCTAATGGCAAAAAATTAGATAAAGGATCCTTTAAGTATTCAGGTAAATCTGCATAAATAAATAAATAAATAAATAAATAAATAAATAAATAAATAAATAAATAAATAAATAAATATAAATATATATATTAATAAATAAATAAATAAATAAATAAAATGATGCGTAGAACAACAACCCCACCTTTATTCAATATGCAATAAATACACATAAAATTATATATATTGCTGCTGCTGCTGCTGCTGCAGCATTTGCTGCTTCTGCTGCTGCACTTGCTGCTGCACTTGCTGCTGCTGCTGCTGCAGTGTACTGACCTGCTTTGCGTGTATGTTTTTTATTATCTTTTTCTTCTTTTTCTTTATTCTCTAAGGAACGTCTAGCAGCAAAATGCTGCAGCACGAAGCTACGACCACGACGAGGTCCTGTTGCTGCTGCTGCTGCTGCTGCTGCTGCTGCTGCTGCATTACTATTACCACTACCATCCTGTTGCTTATGTGATGAACGACGACCACTAGCACCAGCAGCACCACTACCAGCAGCAGCAGCAGCAGCAGCTGCTGCTGCTGCTGCTGCTGCTCCTTGTCCTTTTTCTACATCTGTCTCTGTATCAACAATAGTATGAGATAAGGAGGAGGAAGAAAAAGAAGAAGAAGAAGAAGAAGAGGAGGATAATACATCATGGTATTCCTCTCCTTCTTCTCCTTCTGTTATAGCATCAATATCTTCTTCTTCTTCTTCTTCGTCAGCAGCAGCAGCAGCAACAGCAGCAGTAGATATATGTACCTCTAGATATTTTCTTGGTGTAAATCCCCATAGGGTAGCAAGAAGAAGCAAAAAAATAAATTGTAAGAAAAGAGCAAAACGCCATTCAAGTATCTGCATCCCTGCACGTCTTGCTGCATCAAATATACCTGCTGTTACGCAACCCAACTGCAGCAGCAGCAACAGCAGCAGCAGCAGCAGCAGCAGCAGCAGTAGCAGTAGCAGCAGCAAGCAACAGCAGCAGCAGGAAGAAAAACGAGAAGAAATGAGTTTATATATTCATTATAACAACAACAGCAACAGCAGCAGCAGCAACAGCAGCAACAGCAGCAAGACATCCCTACCACCCCTATAAACAGCAGCAACAGCAGCAACAACAGCAGCAACAGCAGCAGCAGCAGCAGCAACTTACAACAGTGCCAATAACAACTCCTCCTTGTGCTAGACCCATCCATAGGGTTAATTTATTAGGGGGAGAGAAATGATCTACCCATACAGGGCAATATATAGCTATAGAGGCTTGTGTTAGGCCCATAAGGAGACGAGAAGAAAATAATAACCTATATAAATAAATAAAAGTATATATACATATACTTTTATTTATTTATTTTATTTATTTTATTTATTATTTATATAATACAATATAATTTTCCTTTTTTACCTCTTTTTTATTCCCTCTAGATGTCTCTACATGCATATATCTATAACTCTAGGGTTTAGGGTTTAGGGTTTAGGGTTTAGGGTTTACCATCTATGTCTAGTTATAACAAATAAGAGAGTAGCAAATGAATTAAGAATAACCATAAGAATACAACTATTAACTATACTATATATTAGTGTATATTAGTGAAAATTAGGGTTTAGGGTTTGTTAGGGTTTAGGGTTTAGGGTTTAGGGTTTAGGGTTTAGGGTTTACCACCGATGCTTAGCAATGCCAAATAAGAGAGTAGCAAATGAATTAAGAATAAGCATAAGGAGACAAAAAGTTTTAGGGGAAAAGCGCATTAAGCCACGACCAACAAAGGGACTAATAACACTTAATCCTACATAAGGTAAGGCACCTAATAAACCTGTATACAAAGAAAAAAAAAAAAAAAAAAAAAAAAAAAAAAAAAAAAAAAAAAAAAAAAAAAAAAAAAAAT